TTAGTAAAATTTTGAGTTATAAGCAAACTGTTACAAATAAGCGTGTAACAGGCTGTTACAAATAGATTTATCCTTAAAAATTATTTAATTTAAAATTTATATTATTTTTTAAAAACTATATATAAAAATTTTTATACAATTTGATTGGCAAATTTAAATTAAGTAGTACTTCTATCGAACCAGATCAGATCAGATTTTTGTTAAGTTTGAGTCTGATTTGATTTTCGAACCAGATTTGGACTTTAATACTGTGTTTTAAACTTTTAATCAAGTTTGAATTTGGCCTGAGTTTTAGTTTAAAGTGTCCCATCTCTTGGTTAACTGTTTCCTTGAAATTAAATAAGCCAATCACAACACAGCAAACTTATTAGCCATATCAGATATGATTAATGCTGACCAATAAAATATTTTTGGTGTATATGTGTTTGTTTAGAGATACAAACTGAAATTTAAAAAGAAAATTAAAACAATAATCGAAAAGAACACATGCACATGATCTGATTGTTGATTAGATACACTCCAGCCCAATAGAGCTAGATATTAAACTTTATTAAGAGATATGCAGCATATATCAGTGCAATTTGATGTATAATTGAAGTAGCGCCAGCCGGCAATTTTCCACCTGCATAAAGCAGGCTGTTGACACAAGGTTTTGCAGGCAACTAGCAGTGCATAACTTTGGCCGGTGATTTCCCACCTACATAATGCAGGTCGGTCATGAATATGAGGATTCGCGCAGGATTCTACAGATCCTCCAGATTTTCCAGAGAATATGCATATATTGGTGCAATTGATCTATAAATGAACTGATGACTTGTAGCGTCAGCTGGTAGTTTTCCCAACCGCGTAAAGCAGGCCGGATGTTGACACGAGATTTTTGTGAACAGACTAGCAATGCATAACATTGGCCAGTGGTTTCCCTGCATAACGCAGACCAGCCGTAGATGTGGGCTTCTAACGCGGAAGGGTAGGAAGGCGAATATGATTTTCGCAGAGCTGCAGTTGGACTGCCCCATAAGCACGACCTTTATATTAACCTGTATTCTTGTTCTGCCTTGGCGAATTTGGTCATATTAGTATTTGCGCCATGATGTCCTGAATTAGTAATTCATTAATTTATACTCATCTTTCTCCCTTGCATGTATGTACGATATTCATCTACTGCATCTTTATCAAAAACAGGCACCTTTTTCTTTTTAGGAGTTGATGTTGGTGATTCAGATTCTTTCTTGCCGAAAGACTTTGATAGGATATCATTCAATAATGATGCATCAGTAAAGAAAGATGGAAGTAGATGGCATCCTTGATCTTTGCGATCTTTGTTATTTTTACGAGAAGTCATGATTGTAATTATACTCAACAAAAGTGAAATTTTACTGTTTTTATAACGGAGTCTCGGAATACTCATAAAGATACTAAAACAAATTCTAATTCAATGTATGAACACATGTCCAACGCATTTTGTTTGATTTACATTGCATAACCTTTTAATTATTTAAACTGAATGGACAGTATGTTTCTTTCGAACGATACTATGAATTGAATCAAGGTTTTGTTTCAGATTTAATTACGATAAACACTTTCATTAACAACAAAATAAAATAAAATAGAAAAATAGAATATGCTTTTTATTAAGAATAATTATAGTACTATGTAAAATTTAACACAATGGACATGAATTAAAAATTATTTACAATTAATTTTTTTTTTTTTTAAAGAATTATATTCATTCATTCCACAATACTTTCTTACCTGAATTGTTATAATTGTAAATATTATTATAATTCTTCAATATTGAAGAATCTACTAAAGTTGTATTGGATGACCAGCATCCTAAATTTTCCCCATAACATGCCTGATACATGTTATGGATTTCTTTACAGAGTTCACATCTATATTTATTAAGATTAATAGGCATTGGATCCGTTCGTGTGCCCTGTTTAGTTTTATGTTTAGAAACTTTTAAACAAATAACTCTTAAATCCCTTTTTATAATTCCTTTACATGTCTTTGCATGTTCTCTCAATACGGATTCTAAATTGTCACCCTTGTCAACATAAAACCTGCATTTCTTCCATGATGAAACCTCACCACTAGGTGAGTATTGAGCCGAATATGCAAGGCCGCATGAATATTGGCACCTGCAAAAATCTTCGTTTTCATCTTTATGATGAAACCCAAATAGACGTTTACAGGAGAAACAGCATGTATGAGGATATTTCCACTAGCACATATAGCATGGTTTATATGAATCCCATGTAACCGTCATAAACTCCTGATTTAAGTTTAAATCATTTACTAAAGAAAATAAATAACTAAGATCTATATTGGAATCTAATAGATTCCTATTTTGATTATACTCAGATATTTTGATGAAATTTGCTTTGAAAATTGGAGGTGGACGTGTGATAGAAATATTATTTGAAGAAAAACAAGATGTTATATAAAATAAAGGTGGAGATGGTGGTGGAGTGACGGTGAGACGATTGCCTGAGGATTAAGATGTTACTGTATAGAATGGTGATGGTGACGGTGATGGAATGTGAGATTTCTTATCCATGTGCCCCTGAAGAATTTTAATTAAGTTTTCAGCCTCATAATCAGTTAAAGAATTAGCGATCTCAATAAGATTTGATTGAAAAGTCATGATTTCAGATTTTTTTTAAATTTGGAAATTGAAAATTGTAATATGAATATAGAAATTATAATGTGTATAAGTTTTGAATTGAGTTTGACATGGAATCGATCTATGGAATTTATAATTATTCCCTGTTACACCCGATACGTGATCTACACAATCCTGTAGATTTGAATCAATCGTTAAAAAGAATCGATTTTGGATGATTATCTCATAGATCATGAATAAATGGATCTGGTATGTCAATCGTTATCTATAGTTTGTTCAATGTGATCGCAGATCAGTGCTTAGATTGCCTTTTTGATCTGTTGACCTTATCGTTACCGTTAGCTCGAATAATCACCAAGTGATATTGTTGCAGTTTCCTTTTTAAGTTTCAGTTCGCATCTCTATGTTTGTTTAACCCCTCCCCTCACGTCTGAACCCAAAAAACGTTGACATTAACTAACTAATCAGCTTTGAGCGCCTAATTTACAACTTATATTATATTGATATTCAAACTATTCGTCAAATACTATATATTTATTTAAATATTTGTCAAATACAAATATTATTCGAATAACGAATATAAATACGAAGCTCTAATCGCACAAGATATAAAAAAGCAAGCTGTAATACTACAGGTCTCCAGATGGTTCACACGGCCTTGCTTGAAGAGCGGCGTATCTTTGGTTAAATTCCTGTAGGAATAAGAACATAAGGAGAGAACAATTATTTAATGATTAGCTAGGTTTTCAATAAAATTTTGTTAGATAGACTGTTTAACTTGAATAAACGGGTGGCATAAAGTTAAATAAGTCTTCAAACTGTCTGTAACGTTTTAGCCTTGAACAAAAAAAAAAAACTTGATGAAATCGGGAAGGAAAACAAAACAACAACCCCAATAATACGTATTTGGTCTTGATATTGCTCCAAGAACACTCAGGCGAGCCTTCAGAAGCTTGGCTACAAAGAGGGTGTCTCACGTAGAGTTTCCCTTCTCAAAAAAATGTTGTGGGTTGTTAAGTTTTTCGGTACGAATGTGCCAAGGAAAACGGCGAAATGAAACCATCCCAAACCTTAATTCGATTAAAAATCCCAGGCAATTATGAATAAATTGGTTAAAAAGGATAAATTTCGTGATTTAAAAAAAAAAAAAAAATCCATTTCCAAGAGCTTAAATCAGTAACTAAAGAGAAATAGAATAATATAGGCAAGAGTCTTCACCTTTAATTAGTTGTTTCACGCTGGGAGCAGGGCCGATGATTTTCTGTGATGGTTAAGACTAAATTCTGTGTGTGGTTAAGACAAATTCTACGATTTAATGTGAAAATTTTTTAAAGTTTTTACCAATTTTTGTGCAGTTCTGTATGCCATTTTGTAATTTTTGTGATTTGACGCGTAACTTTCCGATGAGCGTGCTCGTAATTCACGTTGATTTATTGTCTGCATTTCCGGGATTTTCTGGTGTTGACCTGAATTTATAGTCGAATGTTGCGTTATTTAAGAATTCATTGCTATTCTGCATTACTTATTTTATAATTCTACGCCTTTTTAAAGAATTCTGTGATATTCCGCGGTGACTAAGGGTGATTTCTGTGTTGGTTGCGATTAGGAGAAATTCTGCTGTTTTCTATGAATCACAGAAAATCATCAGCCCTGGCTGGGAACATCTGAAATTAGTTACTGTATAAAGTATATAATTGATACTAGATAATCGAATGTATGTTTTAAGCTAGCCATATTTAAAATTTTGAATAAATCGTGGCGAGCTGCCCGCATCACGTAAATAATTTTCCACAACTACTGTATGTAATAGTATAAATAGATTTTTTTTTTTTTTTACTTTGCTTACATTGTCTTGATGAATCAAATTTGTCTAATCTTGTTCTTTTCTCCTATCTTGATTCCCTTGTTGTCGATTTTTCTTTACGTTTATTTTTTATTTGGGATTTATCCAGCCCAATTTGGCTTTTTTTCTTTTTGTAATAAATATGTTTTATAATCTACTGTTTGTATTGTTATTCTTTCGAATCAAATAAATAAATTAAAAAAAAAGAATATTTCTTACAGTGAAGGTTATTCTAAAAAAAATGTTATTTCCTGATAAATTCAGTTAAGAAACAAAAAAAGTTATAGCAGAATAACGCGATATTATTAATGAGAATCATAAAGATGAAGATGATGAAGATGAAGATGAAGTTAATTTTGGAGACCCACTAATGATTATAGAATATAATCGTGCAGGTCTTGCTAGCAGAAATATTACAGAAAACCAAGTTGCCCAAGTTTATTATTCTAAATAATATTGTATTTATCTCTTCTGAATAATTTTTATAATTTAACTTTAATTTTATTTTTTTTGAATTAGTGATCATGGGTACTCCTGGATATACACCAATTCCATTTCCTAATATAAGACATCCACCACAATCAAATTCGGTCTTTGCTTTTAATGAAATGCAGGTATTAGACAACACCATTGCAAGATTGTTTGGAAATTTTCATGATTTGGTATTGAGAAGGCAACATCCTGTTGTTGGACGTGTTTATGTTGTGGGTTTTCGCAGGGGTAATAAATTTAAAGTTAGTGAAAGATCGCACGTCTTTGATTGATAACAATTATGTTGTTAGCTTCTCTGTTTTAATGAATTGATTAACAATACAATTAAGCAAGAAGAGATCCTATTACATATAAATTTCATTTCTATATCAGGTAATCCTGATCAATCTGGTATAATTTTAACAAAGTTTCCGAGTTTGCAAAAATTGCAATAATAAGGTTCATAATAAAGAAATGAAAATTTGAATAATAACTAAGTGAACTCTTTCCCGAACACCCCTGAAAATCACAATTTAAAGTAAACAACAAGGAAAATTTTAGTTTTGTGATAAAGCTACATACTGTAAGTAACACATTTCTAAATATAAGCTAGTCCTTCGAAACACCAATTTTCAGACTCACCACAGCTTAGAACTATAAACAAAAGGAAAAGAGATCATATTTCTTACAAAACCCTGGCTTCCTTCAGCGAACTCTTTTAGTAGCTTCAAAACACTATAGCCAAAAGGAAACAATCATCACAAACAATATCTAATGCTACTTCTAAACTCATTAATTCCACAGGAGAAATTACAAACTCACTTAGCTTACTAGCATCAAAGAAAAAAAATAAATGCCACCACCTATATTACCCTTGTCCTACAGCCTCAAACAACAACAAACCCTAACCAGGCCATACCTGATTCAGATGATCTACATTTTATAGAATTTTTTTTACCTTTTGATCAAAACAAACCTGCCCAGACCAACAGATGCCCTATACAGAATTAGGTTACCCAGAATAGCTTTCCAACTACTAGAACCACCCCTATACTTATCTGTAAGCCTATACAAACTGAGCCTACTTACTATATATCTATTTCACAAAAGCATACTAGTAATACTAAATTTAATACCAATATACAATATTAGCTTTTATAATCAACATATAGTTAAGTACTATTACATAGATTAAATATGAACTCAAACAAGTTATTATATAAAACACAGGCACTCTAGAACCAAATAATCACCAAGAGACTAGCTATAGTACACCAAGTTACTTCATATCAAATATGCCAAATTTGAATATATATAAATACTATTTAGCCAATCAGAATACATTATATACTAATTCTGATTGGATAAAAAAAATTATAAAAAAATTTTTAAAATTTTTTATATTAAATGCCAAAATTTTGAAAGCATAATAGCTTTAAATATTTAAAACTTTAAATTGTAAACTTTTTAAAAAATTCTAATTAATAATTTAGATAGTACTGTACTAATAGAAAACAATATTTTTTATTGGTTGTATTTTTAAAAAATATTTAAACCTTAAGATTTTATAGATTTTTTAATATAAATATAATTTTTGATAAGAAATGACTTGGTGTATTATAAAAAAAATGATTTCTTCAACCCTAAACTATAATATAATGATAAGATATTAAAAGTATTTCAAAATAAAACCAAACTTTTACAATTTTTCAAATACAAGTTTGCTAATTACTTAAATATAGCCTTTTTTAAATCTTTCTTACATGATAAATCAACTTAGCCATCTATCTAAAAAAAATATAAACAATACAATACTCACTTTATTAACAAAAACAATTGCAATCAAATTATAAAAAAATTAAAAACCAAACTCACTATTAATTTCATCACTAATATTAACTTTCTTACAACAAATATATATGAAATTACACAAAAAATTTTTTATTGCCTAAATTTTGCAAGAACTATCTATGTAGCAGACTTTCTTGATAAAACTAAAACTACAAAAAAAGAAAAAGAGTTGGCTTAAATATAAAAAAAAATATAACAAAAGAGAACTTAGTCTCTAGCTATATTTAATTATAAAAAAATAAACAAATATAAAAAAAATAAATGAATATAAAAAAAAAATAAATGAAAGTAAACAAAAAAAAATTGAAAATTACTACATATCACCGGTGGTGATCATCACCAGTCCTAAGATTTGTTAGGGTTAGGGTTAGAAATTAGA